AATTAAATGAAGAGTTTGTTATTATATTATGTCCTTACTTATTTATTTTGCTCACATTTTTATTGAATACACAGCGGCGTAATGAAGTTTAGAAATCTTATATTATCCACAATACGATTTTTTTGCAAATCGCCAGAAAATGAATTATGTCCTTATTGGTTTCGTACTTTATCTAGTGTCCTACAGACTCTAGTCGACTTAAAGTTCTAAGTAGTTTCCAAGAACTTAAGCTAGCTTAAACAAGAATAGCGAAAACAATAACAATGAGTGGAGAAAGTTCGGGAACAATTGGTAGCAGTAAAGAGTAAAGAGTATATAACGTAATCAAATACAGAGCGGAAAAAGTAGGAAAAGAGAAATAATAAAATGTGTTCATATATTTTGTGAACTGTATTTGCTAAAATTATATGTCAATCAATATATGTAAAATCAGTTATCCTGAAGTAAATTTACTTCAACATTCGTTTCTTTTATTAAAAAAATGATTAAGTATATTTTTGTATGTATACTTTTAATGATTCAGTCTATTAGTTGAACCAAAGTATATAATAAATAACTTTTTTACACTATTACTGAACGATAAAAGTGATGATGATTAAGCAAATGTACTCGTAAACATAAGTTACCATCTTTGATAAAAAAATTTTAATTAAATTGAAATTCCATTTATTTAAGTAAACATTAAATTGCATTCCAGCAATCCTAATCCTAATATCGAGCAATGCCTTTGAAATAGTACTATTTGAAACTTCTTCAGAATATGTATAACCTCAATTTAAATTTATTGAATATCGGAAGAGTTTATTATATATTGTTGACCGGTTTATGTACAGCTAAAATTGACATCCAAGGAGAAACCATTACAAATTCTCAGATTTCCGTAACTTATGGATTGATCAACAACATAGCACACATCAGCTTTATATCCTACTGTTTGATATGTAATGAGAATTTCATTAAAATTAGTAGTAAACCTGATATAGCCGGTGTAATGAGCGCCTTTTTCATAACTTTTCTGACCATAGGCAGTGTACTAACATTTCTACGTCGTTTCTATCGGGATCGATCCACAATCAAAATCTTTGAAGAATTATTTACATTGAATGAACATTTTTTTCCCATATTAAATCTAAAATCTGTCCGACGTGAACTTTTAAGTCGACTTTTATACATTAAGTTCGTACTTATGTGCATATATGTTGCATTTATATTTATAGACTGTTGGCAATTAGCAGCTACTGGTCATCGTATGTGGATACTAATTAAACTTTGTCAATTAAATTTCTTTAATATTCTTAATGCATCCTTATATCAACACAGTCATGCGCTCTGGTATATTTTGACTAATTTCGAGGCGATCAATCTTCGTCTCAAGTTCATAATGAGTACAATTTCAAGAAATCCTGGAAGTGACTTTACTAAACTATCTACCAAACTTAATGACCTATCCATAGCACACAAAAAACTCTACAATTTGTTGCAACGTGTAATTCATTTGCATAGGTTTGAGATGTCAGCTTTATTAATATTATGCTATCTTTCTTTTGTGGGAAATTTAAATGCATTCTACATGAGCTTTACTGGTAAATGGGAAATAGAGTTTTATTTGTACTTCAAGATAGGTCTGCTGCTTATTTTACATTTGATCGATTTATATATTCTTAACAACTTGTGCCAGTTCATCACAGATGCCTGTAATGAAACCAAGGAAATCATTAGTAAATCTATTGAGTTCCGTGGAAACATTGGTGCTGAATTTTCACTATCGGTGAGTGCGAATTATGCATTTAATTAAATATAATCTTTCAACTTTTATGATGTGATTTCTTTCCAGTGTGAGACATTCATCCTTGAACTAGTATGTCGGGATCCGTCGATAAAAACCTTTGGTATATTCAAAATTAACAAGCAACAGCTATTCAAAACCGTAACACAAATAATTTTATGCATCATTATATTAATACAGGCCGAGTATGTTTAAATTTATATTGTCAGATCTTAATATACAATAAAAAATAAATATTTAAAATGTATGTGAAGTGTACATCGTAAAACTATTTGTATTTTATTTAAACTATTTTATATATGAGCATATATGGATTATATGCTCGTATGGTCTATGAATTTTCGAAAATTGACAACAAATTTAATAATGTATCATCATATTCTCAAAAAACTGTATTTTTATAATCAATCGAATATTCTAAAATAATTTAAACGATTTCTAATAATTATCTACCATATCTAACACCTTATCTAACCTTATCTGCCTTATCTAACAAAATTTGAAATTACAGCAGATGAAGAAATAGTTGCACCTCCAGGTGTGTATGTATAAATTTTTCCAATTTTTTTTATAGAAAACACGTAATTTTTAACAAAACTTAATTTTTTTTTTTCACGACATTAGCCATGGGCTTGTACACATTTCGTCCATCTCTCTGGTAATTCATGAGTACCATGCCAGAAAACCTGCTTATCTTCTACGACAAGCCATTTCCAACTTCGTCGAGATTACTTAAGTGCTGCTCTGCAAGCGCTTGCCAGGCCTGTGGAGTATAAAGTATGCGAAAGAATGTTTGCTATTCCAACTCAACAATTTCAAGGTGTCTTTCACTGGTTTTGCTATGTAAGACGGTGGCTTGTCATATAACAAAATCACTTTGCCATGTCTTCTGACCCATTCCGGCCATCTTTGGATCAATACGTGATTTCAATTAATCATTTGTTGGCAATGGCATTTTTAAGATATCTTCAAGGAAGATTCTTTAATCGAATGTTCAAGATGCTACCAGGCACAAATCATTCTGTTCTTAACGAAGCAATTCAACTGCTTTGTTGCGTTCTTGCATAAGATAAGTGAGCTCGCCTTTGACATGATCTCTGAAAGATAAAACACAGTTTTTAGTTTTTGGCGGACTCAACTTGTGTGGGTTTGCAGTTTACGGTAGACGAATAAAAGACGTATATGTTCAATAAATACGCTGTGTGCTACTCGCTGGCGCCATCTTTTAATTAAACCGGAAAGAACTTATGCCTACAATTGGTAAATTAATTAAGGAAATCCTTTAACAGATAAGCAATAACAACAGTGAATGGTAAACTTGGTACTCGATTCTGAAACTTTCTGAGATTTACATAAACGTACTTTATTTGTAAGACAAGTAACGTATCTTATGCTCTTAAAAATATAGAAAGTACAGGATACTGTGATAAACCAAGTCTTAAATAATTGAGAACTTTCATTTCAGGTATCAAACTTGAATGATATGGGTAGCTCTACAGTAGTTTTCAAAAATTGATTAGGAATGATGTTAAGCTTTCGCACTGGGTATTGCAAATTAAAAAAGCACTTGAACATATAATAACGGCCAAAGAACTTAAAATATGTCATTTCCTTAAAAAGGAAATATGTACATTTGCTTAGTATTTCGTTGCCAAATATTTTTTCACAAGTCAGTAAAACTCTTTTCCTCAACTTTTGGAAATGAAGTTGTTTTTGACAAAAGTGTTATATATGTCCAAGAACTCTTTTAATTTAAAGTTTGCTGTGCATTAGCTGCGTGCCCCTCATAGACAGGCGTTCAAACAGTAAATTTGTGTAGTTTGCAGTAAAGCAGTTCCAAATTAGTTTTTAGTGGTACGTCACTGTCATTTAAGACGTCTAAGCTGCTTGACACTCAAAGCAGAAATACAAAAGTCGGTACTTGAAATGAAAAAATAATGTTTATTATTCGACAAACAATTTCAAAATTTATATTAAATAATAATTATAATTTTAATATAAATAAATTAATGCACAGTACTAAGACTTGTATTTTTAATTATCAAAAAAATTTTAGTTCTACAATTATAAGATAAATGATTCAGTATAATTTTAAAGAACTCCATAGAGCTTTTTTTTCTGTTTTATCATATACAATTAAAATACTAACCTAAATTTAACACAACTTTATATTCCTATTAATATTATTTTGGTTTTTAACGTTAGCTTATTAGCTAACTTATTACAAAATAATCAATGCATTTTAAATGTTATTAATTTTTCAAAAATTTTTGCAATAATTTTTTTTTTAAAAATATTTTCATTCACAAACATTTTTAAAAAAATTTTTATTATCTCTATGTTAAATAAATATCGTGAAAATTTTCACGAGAGACATTACTTGCATCACACAAAAAATATGGTGTAAAGAAGGAACATTCAGTTTTCAGAAATTTACGGAAGAGAAAATATTATTAAACTTATTTAAAAAAATGTAATTCCCAAACGATTTAGTCTTACAAATCGTCAAAGAAGAGCTTTTTTCTCAAACGCTTCTTCTCTGATTGAACTGCTGGTGGCTCTGATGATTCCAATTGAACAGTAGGTTGTAGTGATCTGTAATTAAAAAATTAACTATTAATATATATTGAATAAAATTATATTCACTTGCATAGAAAAATGTATCTCATAGTTATACTTTTATATGAATATCTGCATTTTGCCACCTAATTAAAATTAGTGTTAAGCAACTTAAACTGAAGCGTGGATCAAAATTGATAGAAATACAACTTCCTCCTAAACAACTGTAAACCAACCTATCATATGTCTTCAATCTTAAATAACTCACAAGGCTAATAACAAAATAACTGAATATTTGATTTATGTATTAATAAGTACTTACCCATAAGTATGCTCTGATTCCTTACTCAGATGAAGAGCACTTAGGTCCACTGGAGTTGAGTGTAAAAATTCATTATTTGCAAATTCAGATGGTGATACAGATGTTGATAAAGATGATGACGAAATTTGTGATGTACGAACAAGATGATCATCTTCATGTTCCATTTGATTAGAAGCACGATGACGTTGAATTATTGAGGTATAAAATCCAATAAATAAATTCCAAAAAAATGTTACCAACAATATTTTTAAACTAAATATCTTAGATATAACAGCTGTACAAAATTTTCCAGTAGTTTTTTTCTGTGAAATAATATAGATGAATCAAAAACAATTAACAATGAAATAAATGTCTTAAGCTTACAGTTTGCTGAATATTTTTCCAAAATAATTTTTGCATTTTAAAATATCTAAATTTTTTATGTTGTAGCAATATATCAACAGATGGTCTCGTTGCTTGATCAGCAGATATCATCTCCTTAAGAACTTGTTGTAGCTCTAAAGATATGCCCAAATCTGAAGCAAAATGTTTCTTTTAACTATACAATCTATTATAAATTTATTTCTTACTTTTTAATACATTGTCAGGTAATAAACCACTGCGTATCTGAACCCAACGTTGACTATTGGGAGGTAAGTGCTTATTTCCAGCTAATTTTAGAATTGTGATTCCTAAACTAAATATATCTGCTGATTTTGAAAAGATGCCCCTCATGATTTCTGGTGCCACATACCGAGCATCACCTTCCATTACGCACTCACGATTAGCCTACAAAAATTTTTTATTATTTTTAAAAATATTTTATTTTCAAAATCCACCTACTTTATCGACATCGGCGACTAGCCCAAAATCAGCTAATTTACAACTACCGTCATCACTAATTAGCACATTCTCCGTTTTGATATCTAGATGAATCAAGTTATTATCATGCAAGCTTTTTAATGCAATAAGTATGTCTAAGAAAATTGACCATATCATTCTTTCTGGTAGTTCCTTCTTTTTATCTAAATAATTTTGCAAATTGCCTTTGCACAATTCCATTTGTATGTAAAGGCGTTCATGTTGTTGCCATGCACGATAAACTGTTAAACAATTTGGTTTTCCTGAAAACTGTTTATAGAGCCTGGCCTCTTCCAGGCGCTCTTTCCGATATCTTCCACCTCTTAAAACTTCTTTCGAAATTTTCACAGCATACATCCGGCCGTCTTCTTTAGATTTTACATTAAAAACCTCGCCGAATGATCCTTCACCAATTTTTGATATACACGTAAAATTAGTTTGAAAGTAATTATAGTGTAGTGACGTCAACTCAGCCTCCGATACACTGTCATTATTCTTGAACGAAATGTTCAATGATACTCCAGTATCAGTCAACTGATTTCGGTTATAACTTTTGTACATTTTTGTTACAAGTTTTGGTGGGCGCAATCGGTTTGTAAGACCAGGTCGGGGCTAGAGTGTTGAACACATAAGTTTTAATTTAATTTTCACAACTAGTAAGATTTGTAGTTAAGAAAAGTGTGGTGTCTTATTTCTTACCTGCATAGAAGAACGCAAGTTATGAGACCAATCCTCTACGTCTCCATCCGATATTTGAGAATAAATGGAATCCTTTGTATAATACGCCATTACGTCTGCTGGCAATAAAATGTCTTTTTCAAAACGGCTTTTTCTTGAAATAGAAGAATTTTATGCGATAAAAAAAGTTACTCCCAATATTGCTTTATGTTTTATTTTAAAATAATAAAACATTAAAACGCTTATATACTTAATAAATTTAAAGAATTATTAAAAAAATTGTGTAGAGTTATATAGCATAAATATGGTATAGATGTAGTATTTGTTGTAGAGCGAGATGATGGATGTAATGGATTTTACCTGATGGGATGAAAGTGAGAAACTTTCTTTGTGTTATATATGTACAATATAAGATCAATACAAAATATATGCACTTACGTACATCTTATGTACAATCTATATCATGCATATATTGCTAAAGGTTTCATTTGTTCAAATTAATCTCACAATAACTATTAGTGGAAAAGTATTGTACTTTATCATATAAGAACTACAACTTTCATGTCAAGTTAGCAAAAGAAATAATGTTGATTATAAATACCAATCGTATAACATAAGATAAAGAAATTTTAACTTGATTTGATTTGTGATGTGCAGTGGAATGAAGAATAATGTTCATTTCAGACATCAGTACTAGTTTTATGTCTCGACCCTGAATACCCATATTAATCTAAAAAACCTTGCTTTTAAAAAAAACTTTTAAATCTACACTGCGGTATAGTAATGATTATTAGTATTAGTTATTAGTAGTGAAATTGAACCCCCTTACATTTATACTTTTTTCGTATCTAGTATCAAAGAACCGCCAGGAGTAGACCTAAATGAATTAGAGACAGGGTTTTACGTATATGCACTTTACATAATGATATAAAAAAGGTAAAAAAGGTATACATTCCATTTCAAAATACTTAATCTGTAATTTTTTCATTGTAACTATTAAGCGGAACCTTCTTTCACATGACTCTTTCCATTATAGTTCATATACTTTAAGAAATTAAATATCATTAATCTAAACAACGCTGGCATTGGATAGTTAAAATTAAAATTAATCGATAGAAAACCTTTTTCAACTACATTAAATGCTTTGCAAGACTTGTGGAACAGTTCGATATCACACTCCATTCCAACGTGGACAAAATGAACTTACTTAATTTCGGAAGAACTTATTACCTGCTTCTGACGGGTTTGTGCACTCTCAATATTGATACTAAGGAGCAAACTCTTCATCATCCTGCATTATACAGAATCTTTGGGTTGATACATAACATTGTGTATATAACTTTACTGGCATACTGTTACTTTTGGTCAGATATTCATTGGAAAGTGCATCATGCGACCACAAAAGCACGAATAATACATACGAGCTTAATAATTTCAATTTCGATATGTGTGGTTTTCACTATTCTACGACAGTTCTATCGCAACCGTTTCATAACTGAAATCTTTAAGGAATTATTTACACTGAACTTTCGCTTTCTTCGTTCATTGGAATCAAAGTCCATCCGTGGTGCAATGATTTGTCGACTTTTGTATATAAAATTTGCACTGATGTGTATACATATAATTTTAGTTCTTTTAAATGTTTGGAGCCTTGCAGCAAGCGGTGAATATACAAGGGCAATTAGTTCGCTTTGTCACTTGAATTTCGTTAATATTTATAATGCATCTACGTACCATCTCTGTCAAGCACTTTGGTACATTTTGAACAATTTTGAAGCCATAAATTTTCGTCTAAAGTTGATCATAAAAAATGTCTCAAGAAATCATATAGATGACTATACTGAACTCTCAACTGAACTACATGATTTGTCCTTAGCGCACTCCAAACTCTACGTTTTACTCCAACGTACGATTTCTCTATACAGATTCGAAATGTTGTTCATATCAGCTTCATTTTTCCTTATTTTTGCAACGCATATGTTTTTTATTTATCTATTGTGTGTGGGAAGAATTGAAACCGATTCTTCAATGATGCGTTTTGCGAGTCTTCTGCTCATGCTACATTTTACCGATGCATGTATTTTAAACAATATGTGTCAGTTCATCACAGATAGCTGCAAGGAAACGATGGATATATTCAGCGAAAGTGTGGAGACCCATTACAAAAACATCGATGCTGGGTTTTTATTGACGGTGAATATGATATTTTTTTTGTTAACTGATTTAGTATTTATTTTAACGATCACATTTTTTTAGTGTGAGTCATTCATATTGCAACTCGCTTGTCAAAATCCGTCCATTAAAACCTTTGGTATATTCAATATTAATAGACAACAAATATTAAAGATTGTAGTACAGATCATTTTATATGGAGTGATATTGATTCAAAGCGATTATAAGTAAAAGAAGCACTGATTATCCACTTGAAATATCCTTAAGTGAAATATAATTAAATGTAAAAACGTTATGTGAATTTAATTGAAATATATATATATATATATTTAAATTTTTCTGGATTCTTCTCTGGAAACATGGTTTTTTGTTTTGTTCAAAAACAAACCTCAATATATCACACTAAGTGACGTTTTTAATTGCAAACGAAAACCAAATGGTTTTCCATCTGGTGATCCTCATTATGAGTCACCCACTCAGTGACATATGTGAAAGTAGAAGTGCCGTTAAAGCGATGTTAGGTTACGTTTAAAGTTTGTCAGTTTTTAATATGGCTTATTTAAAAGTACTTTAATATTTTAAAAATTTATAATATACATGCTCACATTCCTTCAGTGATGAGAATAATGTCACAACCCCCACAATAGTTCTTGTTTTGATTTTGTTATGAGAGCATTTACTGGGATAATTAATAATACGTTCTGGTGATATGACCAGACGTCATATCACTACTACTACTTTTTGTAGTATTATGTAAAGGATCGTGTTAATGCGGACAATTACAAATGCTAGACGCTTTGAGACGTTTCTAGTTACAGCCAAACTCTAGTATTATAAAATGCTCGATGGAAAACATTTGTATGGTGTTATATATCACAACTGCTATCGAGATTCAAACAATATACTGAAATAAGAATTGGATTTAAACATCAATCACAAATCTGTTTTATTTGCATCTTACTTTCGACATCACAAAATTGATATCTCTATAGAAAGCATAGAACGAACATTTCATTACCTCGATCTAATAATTACAAGTATTTAAAGTTTTTAACAAACAGTATAACTTATCCTATATAGTTTTTCAAGAACTATTTTCTTTCTCAACCAACTAAAATTGTAAAAAGGTTTAATATAGAACCTTGACCTCTCCAAACTAAACTGCGACACCGTTTGCTCAATGGACGACAAGTAATAATCCAGAAAAATAATCCAGATTATGTTATATATCTGTAAAAAACTTATTTATACCTTCTGTACATTAACTCTCCAAAGTTATTAAGTAAAACAAAAAAATCATCAATTTAATAAAATTTATTAAGTAGGATAGGATTTATGCAGAGAAAACACATATTACCGGTTAATTCCTACCTTATAAATATATTATGTTTATTGATTCCTTGCAACGTTAACGTACCACTTATATGCAATCAATTCTGACTTATTATCGCAAATTTAAAATCAGAGTTGTAGTCAAAGAAAATGTAGTAATAAATTTAATTTATATTGACATAGAAGCATTAAAAAGCTAATAGAGCGAGAGATTCAGTTATGGCTTTGGTTTTTGGGAAATGTCCATACCCTGCACCCAAACAATTTTGAAACAAATTTTTTATTAATTATTTACCTACCAATTTTTATAGTTACTTTCACATATATAATTTTAATGTCAAGTACTCTCAATGATATTTATAAAATATTAATATTAACTATCAATCTCGTTTACTTCTACCCTATTTACAACAAAATTGTAGTCCATCAATTAGTTAAAATATAGAGTTAACATCTCGATTTATATTAGACAATACTCCATAAAAAGAATAACATTTTAACTAAACGCTACATGTGTTGAATTTTCTTCTTAAAAAACTAATTTATATTCCTAAATTAAATAAATTATAAATTTGCTGTATGTTAAATCACAGCAATATTTAAGTCTCTTGGAGTAATACTAAATATGATTAGAATGACTTTAATATTTCTTCTTAAAATAATCAGTACGAAGGGCTCTTTTATTATTATGGTACCCATATGCTCTCTCTGATTTTCAAATTTGCTGCCTCAACCACCGAAATGTTGGTACTGTAAGCAGTCCAGACGATCCTTATTAGTCTTCGTCTAACTCACAATTCAAAGGCGTGTGTTTATCTTTTTTTTATAGTACACTTTTAAACTGGATATCTAGCTATTTGGAATATAATTATTTTTACTTTTTAAAGTCTTGTAGTTTTATTCATCATTTTGTTTCTACCATATCTATTATAAATAAGGCTAAAAACATTTAACTGAATTAGCAAACTAGCCAACAGACTAAGGACTAATAGAAATAATTCAAAAGAACTGCTCACGGTAGTCTCAGATATCAAGGCACGACAGTCTTCAGACTTAATTAAGACTTAGCACCATAAGTATACAATCGGCTAGTCAGTTAAGGTGTTAGCGTGTAAAAGTGTCGCACACACAGACACAATAATATAGATACACAAACATAAAGTGACAGAGCCATGAAGCCATACAGATATACGAGACATATGACTTGTCATGTTGATAGACCATACATGAGATGGTTTACGTGCTATCCTATATCTCTCTATCTACGCGTCACAAGCTTTTTGTCAAACCTAACACACCCTTTATTTATGACAGTGCAAGGCGTATAAAAATATCTAACTATATTATAATAGTGAACATCAGAAATACAGTAGTAATATTTTAGTGTTCTTTGAGAGATGGGCAAATTCAGTTCAAATTTATTTAAGTTCAGCAGAAATTATTTTTTCTTGCTGTCTGGTTTGTGTACAGTCATAGTTGACATCAAGAAGCAAACAATTCTATATTCCAGTTTTCTTAAGATATGTGGAGTAGTGTACAATGCAGTACATATAAGTTTGATGACATACTGCGTAATTTGGGAGGATCTATATTCGAAGACTATAAACGCAACTGAAATAGCAGAAATATTGAATCACTGCTTTCTTAATT